AAATTTTAATTTACAATATTTAACAATTGGAAAATTGAAAAATTTGAATATTTGATAATTTGAAAATTTGAGAAATCGTATATTCGATAATTGAACATCTAAAAATTCGAAAATGTGAAATTTGAAACATTTAAAGACTCAAAAATTTGATAATTCCCACAGTTGACAATTAGAGAAATTTAGAAATTGGAAAATTCGAAAAATAAAGCGTGATTTCCAGTGTTTCAACCGTGATTTTCTTGGAACAATCGACGGTGGCTTTTTCACCCCTCTGATTCGCGTCACTGGCTTCGAAGGCCGGACTGTCAGGTACAAGTGGTGTGCTTCACACGTCAATTTGCGTAGCGGCGTGTAAATAAAAATGCTGCAGGATGACGTGCTTCAACTTATTCCACGATTGTCACAACAACGACTATCGATCAGCTTACGTTTGAAATTAGTACACGAGTTCCGCGACGAGATCTACCCTTGTATTTAGCCAGCTATACATATAAATGAATTATTCATTTCCCGAGCGTTACACAATTGATTTCATCAAAAAAAAAAAAAAAATTACGAAAGGACGGAATTTTATTGGAAATTATCTCGTACAATGGTAGTATTCGTTCGATTTCCTTTTATCTATAAAACTAACACCGGTACATCCATCATTATAACTGACGCTACTTTGAGAAAAGAAACAAGTGCAAACAAACGATCGCTCAAGTATTCTAATTCAACCAGCTCCGTGGCAGGTTGTCGAGAAAGTTACCATACAACTTGCGCTAAGTGCCATAATTATTAACAGCCTTGAATAGCTACTCTACGAACCTGGAAAGAAACAGAACGAATAAATATGTGCAATTCGGAATTACATTCTGTTTTTCACTCTACAAACAGTGTCCGCGTAGTTACATACACGCGTAAATACACGTTACAACTGTAACGTAATAATCAACGCTCGTCCTATGTCATTTACCTTACAATTTTCCGTTGGTTCGTCGAATTTCGAGAGCCTCACGAAAACCATTTTTGCTTCTTACACTTTAGCGGTAATGATGTCAGAAATCGTGGTATCGGTGACACACGGCGCATGAATAAAAACGTCATGTCGCCCCTAAGATCGGCTATTGGGGCGTGCACGAGAACAGCGGAGTGAAATAGCGTAGGGCGTGCAGGCGCAATTCAGAAGCTATTATAGGCACGCGGTTTATTTCGACACGTGTCTTTACTGCGATCCCGAGTTTGCTAGCCTAAGTACGGTCTTCCGACGTGTCGCCGCAGATTTTCGCTAATTGTCCGCCGTTGATTTATCAGGATTTCTCGGAATGAAAATCACTTCGCGTGCATAACTCTCGCTCGACGGCGTTTCCTCTCGTTCCCCCCGAGGCTCGCTTCTGTCATAATGACACACTTTGACTGGCTTCGTGGTATTTAAATGTCCGATACTGGATGGCATTACTTTGTCATATTTTACTTCATCGAGTGCTTTCGTTTTGGGTTAAGGTTGTTGCCAACGTATAATCTGATCGGCATTCTTGGTTGCATTCATTGGAGTCTATGGTAGATAAAGTGTAAAAATTGAAGTCTCAAGGTAGCGTATTGAGAGAATGTTGTTTATTGTGATAGAATTTCACGTGGTGTACAGTGTGTTCAATACGAAGCGATCGAGTTGGAGGTGTGAAAAAGTTTGTTCGAACATACCTACGTGGTATCGTTGAGATGAAATGTGAATTTGAAGAGTTTGCAAGATTTGTCGTGGAGACCAAATGATTAACCCTTTGAGGCCTGATGTAAGAACAAGTGTTTTTTTATTGAGACAAATATTTACCGTGCATTCAAATACTTATGAATAATTGGCAATTGTAGAATATAGAATAATAGAATATATTACTGTGATGCAAGGTGGTTTCGTTTCAAATCTAGGGAAATTAATACGTTTCACAGTGAAATCACTGGGATGCAAATGGTTAAGTGGAGACAGCATTTCATTGTTCCAATCGATTTAATATCCCTGTCGAATTTCAGTTAATCTCGCATATATTCTAAAATCAAATTACTGTAAAAAAATCAAACAGAGAAACTGTTATAGAATCACTCAGATACCAGATATACTTCATTTTTCTGCAAAATGTTAAATGTAGAAAGGAGTACGGTGTTTTTGGTTTTACGTGTTCGTTCGATAATAAAACTATCGCGAGTTGCTATCGAGAGTCGAATTTATCAGGGTATTAAGAGATTTACGGAGAGCTGGACACCCAATTTGAGAGTACTCTCGAGAGCAACTGCGTTAACCTTTTCGCTGCGGCAGATTTTAATCTTTTGTTTTGGTCGCGTTCATTTTTTAATTTCTGTTATGAAATTAGAGGATTAATTTACAGTGAAATTGCGCCAAAACTAACAGCAAAGCGCTTATAGGCGCCAACAGCAGTGAAAGGGTTAAAAACACTCTCATATATTTGTATATAAGGCACCTTAAGGATAAAATGGCATAACTCTGAAATTAATATAATTAAACAAAAATTGAAAATGTAGTTTATTAAAGCAATATTTCCTTCAAACAATAGCTTACATTAAATTTTTACAAAACAGCAGAAAGTTCCGAAAATAAGAAATTTAACGGAGAGGTGCGAATTCAGTTTTACTTTGAGGTCTCGGTAAAACCGGATGCAGTATCCAATATTGTCCTTAACATCTGTAACATTCGAATTTATTCAATTCTTGACATCCCCAACCAGTGCAGCTTTCACGGGCCCACCCAGAGCAAATTATACGCTGCACCCAACCTTCGTTCAATCTGGATGCACCGTGATTGCCGTGATATGGTTCTTTTGTAATTACGAGGCATTTTGTTTGAGTCTAAAAATAAGGTTGAATCAAAATATTACGATGCATTATGAATAAGAAAACACAATCGAGTAACATCTATCTGAAATACTGTTTTCATAATGTTAATGCGTTTGAAACATGGGCACATCTGGGTCAAAGCCGGGTATCCGATTTTACACCGTCCGGTTTTGCCTCAGTATGCAATTTTTTAAATATTACAGTTTACTATTACCACCATGACGAATTGAAAAAAATCCTTTCACACATTCATACTTTAATACACGACAGATAGCATAATTCATACGAAAAAGTACTTACCCAAACAATATCAGCAATTGTGAAGTTTATAACTCGGTGAAAATTAGACCAGAGCACTCGCAAACACAAAAACGGTCAACTTTAGAATGCACACATGTATCGCGATCATATTTTCTTTATGCACTAATCCAAATGACGTTAATTGAAGACTGCGTCGACACAAAAATATTTTAACCGTTTTAAAAATAACAGTAGGTCCCAATTTTCACCCCGGTATCCATATATACCCTAAAAATAAAATTCCATAATCCACGTGAAGAAATCATTTTTCACAATACACGCAAACTTCGTACATCCTCGTCGAATTTGATTTATTCCGACGTATTGAAGCGCTGCCTATGAAAAATCGTTACGAACATTTCCGTACAGCCCGATACCTACATAATCAATAATCCCTAACGAAGGAACGT